CAAGAATGTAACAATCTCTAACACCACAGTCGATCGGCTAACCAATCAACATCACGCACTTTCTGGGTAGTTGCACCCTATTATAAGGAATAAAACACCGGTACCCTCGCGCAGCTCTGTTTTGTATTCGATTTTTTTAAATTTAATTTTATTCGTATTAATGTGTTTTTAATGTTAGTTGCTATTTTTGTTATTGTTATTATTATTTTAATGACACTTTGTCACGTTATTCATATTAATTTTTCTGCTTGCTTTGCTTTTGCTATGTTTAATTTTTTTTCTTTTCCTTCTTGTTTGACTTTTTTAATTTTTTCTTGCTTTCTCTCTCTCAATTTCTTCTCTCTATCTCATTTTCTTCTCTCTCTCTCTCAATCTCCTCCACTTTCTCATTTTTCTCCTTCCTCTCTTCGTTCCTCTCTGCCTTCCTTTTTTTTTTTTTTTTTTGCTACCGCTGATATGCACGTTAATGAAGATTTAAATATGTTTTGTTATATTATGATTAGCTTTATCTCATTGGTTTGTGACCACGTCCGGCAAAATAGATAAGAAAAACGTACGCCCAAAGTGAGGAGCTTCATTTCGTAGTGGTTTGTCTGGTTGGGAACACTGAAAGTATTTGCCCGCGATGTTACGACTGACAGCTACAGGCTATGCCATGATGACTTCCTTCATCACTTTCCTTATTGTCTTTGGTGGATTCATTCAGAGCATTACTCTGTTCATTCTTTTACGAACCCCAGATCTCAAGTCCAAGTCTCTAACGCCTTATCTTATAAATGTGGTTGTCGCAAATTCTGTCATGATTCTTGGGAGTTTTCCCAGTACGCTGGCTTCGTCTATTGCCAATCGGTGGATTTTCAATGATTTGGTTTGTCGTTTGGTGGGGTTTTTCGGTGGTATTGCGGCCATAGCTATGATAGCAACCATGACGTGCATCACCATTAAAATTTACAGTACACTAACAATACAGTTTGGTAACAACAAGTTGTCATTCGCGGCGAATAAAGACCGAACTCACCTAAAAATTATCGCAGGTATTTGGATCTACTCGGTACTCTCTATGCTTCCACCTACTGCAGGCTGGACGAGGATGATCATCGAGAGTGCTGATACGAATTGCGCACCCGACTGGATGGCGGAAAGTACAGCAGAACTAGTGTACATCTTAATACTAACATGCATGGCCTATATCATACCTGTTAGCATCGCTGTCGTCTATATCTGGAGGATAAATAATGCCTTATCAGCTCATGTTAAACTGATGGCGCAAATGTTAAGCGCTCAACGACAAATCAAGGATTTTAGGAACATTACAAAGATGGCTGCTTTGGCGATTGTTGCCTTCACGATTACTTGGCTACCTTACTGCTTGTATGTTCTCATCTGCGCTTTTGGCGAAGGGGAGAAAATCTTTAATGCTGAGACTAGCGTCATAGCTTGTCTTGGGGCAAAATCAAGCATTCTCTATAACCCGTGTGTTTACGCTTTCGTCAATCCAAGGTATGATGAATAGTATACTACTCCATTAAAAGAAATGTTTTTTGAAACCAGTATATATGATAAGTTGTGATTCGTAACCCACCACCTACCAACTGGCCTATTCTCATTCCAATTAAAGAACGTTACACGATATTTTGTATTTATTCACAAAAGCTCTTCAATGCACCTGTGGTTTTGGGCGGGTTTTAAGTTTTTTCCCTCTGTTTGACGTTTACATGGTATTTGGTCTACAATTCTGTAAAACAAAGATCTATAGAAGCTGAAAAACTAAGTTTTGCACGAATATTTGAGGACATTTATAATATAACCAAGCAGTTAGAGTGATGGGTTATATGCTAACATTGCGTTATATTCGGTCAAAACATTGTTCTTTTAGTTAAGTGCGCTTTTCTCGGCTTCTTTTTCGACCTCCAGCTTACACTTAGTGCCATATTGATTCAATCAAATTATTTTAGATTATCTCTGAATCTGAAATTCAATCTAAACACTTTTCAAAGTGCCCCAAAAAAATTAAGGATCAATCGATCATCTGTCATCAGTGATGAGCTAAATACGTTGAGTGATGACGATTTTATATAAATTAAACTTGATAGCCGGCTCCATATATATATTATATAGTGTATTCAAGTGATAATGATTTCTTATCAATTTTATTCAAATTAGAAAAAAATACTTAATGTGCTTCCTTACTAAAGAGGGTTTACCTAAAACTTGATGGCTCAATATATTTGTCATTTATCAGTGTTGTTTTGCTTAAAAGTACTCGTATTTCATATTATTTGTATTTCATTATTTTTAAAGTCATTTTATAGACGCTTGTTTCTAAACCCTTTTTAAGCGGATTTCTTTGCGGATAGGCCTTGAAAGCGCAACTTTTCTAAAAACGCTACGTGTGGACAGCGCTTATATGGATAGGTTTTTTTTATATTTTCGTCATGAGTCTGAGGAAGCGAAGAACGGTTTCCCTTTGTGTTAGAAAACCTTTTGATTTCATTTTATTGTATAGTTTGTATTCTTTCGCGATAGGATGTGAACGTGAACAGGGTGTTTAATTTTTAAGATTGTTTTATAAGGATGTAATTAAAGTGGAAAAACAAAACATAGGCCTTATTTAAGTAAAGCAAGAGAATATTAAGTAAGTAAAGCAATGAAGTTGGGTGCATGCTAAAGCATGTTGAAAGCCTTGGAATAAAAGGGAGCTTTCTGATTTTTTAGAGCCAAAACCGTAATCAGCCAAAGTATTTTATTATTGACCGCGGCCAGTGTTAGACTATTAGTTCGCGCCAGACATAATAAAAATTACGTCAGCTATTTTAATTGGAAAGATATGTTTTTTTCTTTTTCTTTGATCATTATATAATTGTTAGAAAACACCGGCTAGTCAATTAATATGATTAATGAAGAGAAAAGAAAGAAATAAGGAGAGAGAGATAAGGTAATGAAAGTAAAGAGATGAAAAAGTTCTCCTTTGCTCAGTCTTGACCTCGATCGGTACACGTGTTCTTTTCTTTTATTAAGGTCCATTGTATAGTAAGGATGTACGCACTACGGAACAATACGAGTTGATTAAAATGCCACGGGTTTTGGTTGAATAGCTGAATATTATAAGGCACAAATGAGACTAAGACTGAGCAAAGAGAACTCGAATCTGAAGTATTGTACTCGTTTACATTCACCTTACATTTTCGACTCATATGTTAACAAAATACTCGGTTACCCTTGATTTTGGTATTTACAGCTTCTATAAGTATTTACAAGTTTAATATTTATTATTTAGTTTTGAAAATAAATATGACTTTTTGAAAACACTAAAATTTCCATATAATCTAAAATATTTGAAATATATTGCGCCTTCTGATTGGCTGGCTAGCGTGTTTATATCAAAGAAAAGAGACGCACTAGCGCAAAATTGTTCAAGAATGTTTCATAAGAGCAATAAAAAAAGGCTGCTAACGTATCTGTGCTGTGATATAAACGCTCTGTACTCTGCCGTGTTCCTTAGCTTGCTTCTCTCGTGCTCTACAGCAGCCATTGTGTTGATATTTCAGTACAGAGATATGCACGCGTTATATATTCCTTAATTAAAACACGAAATGAACATTTTTTACGTCAAAGTGTTTCCTCATTAGTTCAAAACCGGCCATCTAGTTTACGGTAAACGCGAAACGTCAGATGAAAAGGAAACAATTCTTCATAACAAATGAAAAGGGATCAAATCATTTCTTTAGGGGTGGAAAAATGAAAGTGAATATTTGTCCTCTAGGTGAGAAGGTTTGCAATGAAGGTAAAGTGTAATCATAGTTAATACTATGGTCTAATGGAGGAAACGGATGAAAACGTAGTCATTTGCGGGAAGAAAAAATACGTGAAGCTTTGAAATAATTTCATTAAAACCATGAACATTAATTCATGATACAATTTAAAACATGCGTTGTTGGTTATTTTTCTACCATTCGACGATTACAACCCTCCAAGTGTCATTAGCTTTAGCGGTAATCCTGAAGTTAGTTTTATTGAGGAGCTTAGCCACAACCATTAGATTTTCTCTTTAAGATAACTTTGTTTCGTAGCCGTCATGTCTTCATTTTAAAATATTTTTAATGATGGTGAATGGAAAATTTATGAGTTAAAGATTGATGAGTAGTGTTGTGCCCTTTCGTTTTCGTTTACCAATGAGACATTTAATATAGTCAAACAATCCAATTTTCTTTGGATACCATAACCGATAAAATATTTATCTTAATGATACCAGATGACAAACATTAATTGTGAGATTTTGTGCGTAAGTGATAAATATGGTTTGATCCATTTTACGTTAAAATTAGTGATAAAAAATGTGATAAGTGACAACATTAGTTGCAGGGTCTGGAACAAAAGACCATGCAGGGAAGACATTCATAATGCTTCGAGTTTCAAAACATCTTACGCCGATTAACGAGCGCTGATAGTAGTATTATAACTAGGCGTGTCAGTATATTGATGTCGATTAAGCGTGAAAACTCTGTGAAAAGATTCGCTTTTTTCAAGGCAAGTGTTTTAATACAGTGTTGTACGTAGGTTTCATTAATTTCGAGTATACAGCTATTTCCAAAAAGGGGGAATACTGAATAGTGCATTCCAAGACCAAAGGGCATTGTGGGTCTCGTTAACTTGAAATAAAAAGTAAATAAACAGCAATTAACTTTCTACATGTAGTTAGTATATTGTTTCAGATGGAATACACTAAAAATAGAATAAATAATTATTAATTCTACTTTAGATAATGTCACGATGACCCACAATTCACTTCGGTCTTGGAATGTACTATTCAGTATTCAACCTCTTGAAAAAGCTGTATAAAATTCAACATAGAAGAAACATAGAAATTTTACTCTAAAAGAAGTGTTTCAGTTCTGTGGGTTGCAATAGTTAAATATAAAACTATTGGGGATAAATGTGAAGTGTTTTAAATAGAAGTAGGAAAAAAAAAAAAAAAAAACAAAAAACCAAAACAAAATAAAACAAATAATAATAATAATAATAATAATAAAACGACAAAAAACGACGAAAACGGCTTGTTTCCAATCTCAGTCCTTAATTAACGAAAAAAATAACAATAATTAAATATTTACATCAGCTTAGCCGGATAAGTTTTATCTGTCAAATGTTCAGGTTTCTTCATATTAGTAGACAGCGTTATATTACCATTAGGCCTTTTAGTTTGGTCTGTTTTAACAAAAATTACACTTTAACCCACGAAGTAATCCCCTAATGTTTTCATAAAAGATCACAAGGCTTAAACAAGGGCTTATTCATTTTCAGTGCTTTTTAACAGGGGGCTTATTAGAAGTGGGGAAGCCTTATTAGAGGTTGGCTTATTAGAAGGAGGGCTTATAAGAAGAAGAATCGATTTATTAATAGCTGGGGACTTTTCCTGATCATTCAATTTATGATCTCAACAGACGTAATGACTTTCAAAAGTCTTCCACGGTAAAAGGACCACAATGTTCCTCAGGGGTGGAGGCTCAACCGATTTAATTTTCGGCGTCTAAAGGGGCGGATCCAGGATTTTTTCAAAGGGGGGGGGGGGGGTTGTAGCATTGATTGAGGTACTTGTTTGGCGGGAAGGTAGCACAGGGTTTCCAAACGAAAGTAGGTCTTATGGTAATGATTATTTGCTGCAGGTGAGCATGGTTGTTTCAGGTCCCACACACGGTGTATAGGGGAAAAAAAGCGAGCGAAATGTGTTCGGCACCCCTGTTTTAATAAAACTCACGATGCTGTTGGTGTTGTCATGAAAATAATAATAATAATAATAAATCACGATGGCTCTCATGGGGGGGGGGGGGGTTGCAACCCCCAAAACCCACCCCTAGATCCGCCACTGCGTCTCAGACTGGGGGCTTATCAAAAAAGGGGACTTAGGGCTTAATAGATACGATACTCTTAAAGTATAATGAACAGCAATAATCTGAGATTGAGCAATAATTTTTAGCATTGAAACGGCAGGAAGAAAAAACTTGATTTCCTCTTAATTCGCTCCGGGGAATCCATTGCACAAAAGCACGTACACAACTGCATTGTTCAGTTGTAGGATGGGCTACTTGCTCTTCTCTCCCCTCCGAAGCCCACGTCGCACTTTACCATCAATACAAATAAAGCGGGTGTGTTAGCATGTGCGTGTAAGTCAATTAAAGACGCCTATCAAGCTCAGCTAAAGTACTTAATATGATCAAGTGAGGACAAGCACTTTTTTCATATTCTTTTTAAATTGAAACGTTAATACACATARATAAATCCAGGCCATCATCATGGTGACTGGACAACTTGGTTTCTCGTCAAAATTGCCGTCTA